TTCAGTAAATGAAACACTTGAAAGTTTGGTGACCATGTTCAAAGCAGATTTAGAAATACCATAACTTCCATAAGGTGCTGAATGACTGNAGACATTGGAAATAGATCCAAGAATACTGGAAATATTGGCAACCAAACCATTTTCGTTAATGAGATGATTGTTATAGAACTTTTGAGCAACAATCAATGGTGAAAGAGTATTAGTTTGCAACAAGGCAGAGACAGATTCTCTTGTGGCAGTAAGAACTGAATCAGCTCCATTACCAGCAGATCCAGCATTGTTAACCAATACATCAATCTTAACATTTTGATCTTTGAGCTTTTGTACTAATTGATCAATAGACTCATCATTATTAACATCCAATTGTTCAATGATCAATCTTTTAGCACCAACTTTTTCTTGCAATTTAACAAGATCTTCGGAGGATGATCTTGATGTTGCATAGACAATTCTATTTGGATTGGAATCTAATAATTGTTGAGTAAGTTCAAAGCCAATACCTCTAGAAGCACCAGTAACGAGGATTGTATTAAAAGTGGAAGACATTTTAATAGAGATTGTGAAGGACAAGTTGTGATATTTGTTTTTATGAGAAAGTGAAAGCTAATGTTGATTGTGGCTTAACGACTTCCGAATAGCACGTTGATCGTGAGCACAATTTTCGGAAGCTTGTAATTATTGGTGCGTTTGAAAAGTTTTGATTGGAATTTCTTGCATTTCATAATTAAAACAATAGAAAGTAAGAAAGTATGAACTCACAAGCTCCTTTTTCTTTGAATTTAAGATTACCACATCTTCATTCAAACACGTGTTTGCCTTTTGATCTTTTATTTATTATTAATAAAAAAATTCAATAATTATCAAAATATAAAAAAAATGAGATCATCAACATTGTCACACCACACTTTATCATCATGGTGCAATCATCGGGAGATTAAATATTGTACAATAGGTTTATTAGCAATGATGTGTATATTATTATTAATAGGTTTTGGATCTGTGAATG